GCCTGCCTTTGTCATTCTTTCCATCAAAAGAAAGAGTACTCGTATGACTGCGAACTATTCTTACTCCAGTGTTTCAAGTTGCCGCTAATATCTGCCCAACTATAGTAATCCAAATTTCGGAGTTTTTGGGACAACTCGAAACGTATTTCGCCAATCATCTGTTAAGTGTATAAAAATCGCTTCTTGTTCTATCAGATGCGATCAAAATCTGGTTGCCATGGCTAACTGTCTTCACATCCTCTCAAAGAATCTTAGGTGCTATACAAGTGGGATGGGCACGCCCAGCTTTTCATGCATGTCAAGTGGCTGCCCTCACCCCCTAGATTAGCTACATTCCCCCTGGCTGCACGAATTCTCCGATTCTCGTGACAGTATAGTAGCGAGCAGCAGTCGTCACATACATACATTTCCGTTCAAAAAATGCGGCGTGCCCACCCTACTGGTTATAGAGCCGAATCCTATGCTAGTCAGATGGCCTCTGACCAAGGCATAGACGGCTTCATCACCTTGGAGGTCACAAGTTTCATTATCGACCACTGTTGCCCCCTCCCCCACTTTGATCTAGTGTATTTGCTCAGCTGTTGGCTTACGTCGGAAGCTGCCGCCTCGTGTCATCTTTCCATCGAAAAACCTAAACAAAAAAAAAAAGAAGAAAGAAATAAAAGTAAGAAAGGATGTAACTCTCATTCCTTTCATCCCCTTGACTCACAAGTCACAATGTCGACAAAGGAACACTCTAGCCTCTACCCGTGAAGTTAACTCATCTGAAATCCAGCTGGCGTGGAGATTTTGATTTGAAAAGCCAGCGGTGTACCCGATAGATTCTTGGTGGGTTATCTAAAGGGAACCGCCAAGCTATGCGCAAAGGACGAAAATAAGAAGATCACGCAAAGTCAGGTCCCTCTTCCCCCTTGACAGTGATTGCGAATCGTACATGTACGACCTGCCAAACCGAGAAAGAGTGTTCGGATGTGTAATCCCAATAGGTGACATCAAGTCCCTCTCTGGGACTTCTGCAGCGGAGCTGGATTTCGGCAAGGTTGGCGGACCTACAAAGTTGGTATCCGGAGCTCTACTTCCATGCCTCTTGAGTTTGCAGTGTTGGCGGCCACTGCCCTTCTGCGCTGGATCCACTCCCTGTTCTGGCAGATCTCCTTTTTGGGGTCCCATTCGGTTCTTTCGTTTACGCTTATCGGAGATTTGTTTTTACTTATTTTAAACGTTCCAGTTTTGTAGCTTTGATTTCCGATAATAAATATGAATATGAAATATGTCAACAAATATCATGCTGTGATTAATAACACATCACCTAACACAAGCTGAACGATACGATTCGCTCCGAGCGAAATGCTCTTTCAAAATGAAAAGCGAGCTATGGCCTACTACACAGTGCGTTTCATAACTATAAGGTCACCCTAAAATATTGCATTTCCGGGACCAGCAGCCAACTGGTGATTTTTCCACTATCACCAAAATGATTCCCCACTACGAATAACCCCTGTATCGCAATTTTGGTGGGAGCAGCTTTTCTTCGAACTTTTTTGTAATTATTTTTCGATTTTTGCACCGTTTCATAATATAAGGTCACCCTGAGGAAAAAGATTACCCTAGATCAGTGACAGATAAAATAGACATAATAATGCATGGTACCTCCTTTATCAAGGGCAACATCGAAAAGCTTCCGTGACTTAACGGAATTGAGATTCCAAGGCAGATCCCCAAATCGATTCCTCTCCGTTCAAGGGTTGCTTGTACACGCTCTTGTGTAATTTTTACACTGGCGTTTATCCGCCACTATTACTCATGACGAAGATGCCCCTAAGATGTTCTACTAGAACACGACCAGAAATTCAGAAAAAATTTGTTTCAGTTCATCAGGGTTTCGAGAGAAATGCTGGGGGCAGAGGCAGTTTCAAAAGTTAAGGCTATTAGGAAGCCTTACTGCGCTGCAATTAGTTCATCGTTCGCTGCGAAAACACCTCATTTGTTTGCATTCGTTCCTGGCTGCTGCTTCCAGTGGCCCGTAAGCTTCTCCAGTGGGTACCCCATTTTATCACAATAACTGCCTTAAAAAATGACAAATTTTCCCCTATCATATTTCCGAGAAGGTTGAAATTTTCTCATTCTAATCGATATTACATTAATTTCTCTATGTTGTCAATTGCTCTGGCCTTATTTTGTTTGTTTGCTTATGGCGCATTTCTTGGGAACAAGAAAATCAAGTGAACAGGTGAATAAACTTCCATCGCATGTGAACTTGCTGGCTGTTTCTCCAAGGGCATTCAATTTCAAGAAGCAGCGCGACCCATCGACTAGAGGGGGTTTTTGCATTTTCATCCCATTGTGTGCCAGTGGACATCCTTGGGAGAGCCGCAAAATTGCAACTGCTGGGCTGTTGGGGAGGGGGATGGAACTGCAGGCCGTTGCGCGCTGCGCTGTCCTACCATTATATGCCGTAGAAAAGCAGTCTCTCGGTTCGGTGCCGTAGCAGTCACCATGGAAGAAGCTTACGATCTATAGAAAAAGTGTTAGAAAAAATAATAAAAATTATTCGGCTAGAGCTGAGACTTTTTTCACAGGGATGCTGAAATATGAGCAAAACTTTTGCTCCAGGCTGGTATTGAACTTGCGCCTCTAACTCGGGGGCTGTTGAGCTTTTTGATTTATTTGTTGATTTTTCGATCGTTTATCGATACGACTTGCCAGCGCTATTTTTGCTGCCTCTCCTCTAAAAATACCTTGAAAATTTGAGCATAGCCTCAAAGGCGAAAGAATCGCGGGTTGATTGGTACTGGAAACCCTGAATTAGGGGCCTATGGAGCAAAAAAATTCCAGGTGTTTTTATTGCATACAAGGTTCAGCTCCTAAACCCAAACTTTCATATTTAGGGTCCCGACTGCAGTAGTGTGAGTCAACATAGACTAATGGCGTCTAATAAGCTCCTGCGAAGAGGAACTAAAGGGCAAGCCCAGTGCATTCGAAGTTTTTGCTCGCCCACACATTAATATTACCTTCTCTATGTACACATTTGCTCACGTACCTATCTCTTCATGGCTTGTTTTTTCACTCTCATTTGCGAGCTTGTTATAAAAGCTATTGCGAGGCTGCTGAGTTTTCAAAATGTTGGGCATTCACAAGTGCAAACCTGGATGCGGGCACGTAGGGATAAGGTGCGACCTGGACACCACAGTAACTCTGAACGCTTAGAATTTATTTATTCATCAGTGGACATGCAGTTAGCATATAAAATTAGTTGTTTATCCATTTATCTATTATCTGATTGCTTGTTTCTTTATAATTTGCGGATAGGTGCGCTATAGAGTCAAATGTAACCATAACGGAGTCATAATCAAAACAGCAACACGTTGTGAAGCACAAGTTAAACTATTAAATTAGGTCCTAATTCCCTTTCACCGTTCTCAGAAACGACGAGCTCATCGTCAGTCCAGTGGGTGGTTCAAAATGATACTCTGGGCCAGATTCATCTCCTTTTCCGAGGGGTTGGGAGGCGAAAATCCCTATAAATTCATTTGCTTAACGATATAGTTTTTTTCATTTCTAGTGCATCTTTACTTTGACCTACATACATATATTGAATGTAGGCCCTTTATCAGGACGATCCCTGTTGGGAAGACATAAAAAATTTAAAAGGGATATTGGCGTCCTCAACTTTGGGGTGATTTAATCTGGCTCCTGGCATAGTATTTGCGTTGATAAAACTGTCAAAGTGGGTTGCATGGATTTATAAAAGTATTATATTAATATTATTTTGTTTGGGGCGGAAGTGGTGTAGTGACAAGTGGCGCGCTCACCACGCGAGCGGTCCGGGGATCAAATCCTGGGTCGTGAGTCGCCCGGGCCAACCAAGCCTTCCATCCCTCCGGGGTCGGTTAATTGGTACCAGACTTGTCTGGGAGATAAAAAACACTGACTTGAACATCGGCTGGCCCCCGCAAGTCATTGTATAGGCCACATCGCATTCAAATGCCACTGCGAATGTACAAATGGAAGTAGAATGCGTGCCGCATCCCAAAAAGGGATTGATCAACGGCAAATGCTTTATCCTTATTTTTATTCTGGTAGTCTTCAGAATAACCATGTTATCTTAGACCATGTTCGGGGCATACCCGAGAGAACTGAATGGTCTTTGGGAACCTGGGCTCACTCAAATGTCTCGTTCGAAGACTCCTTCTTTTGTTCGCTCCAGGGTCGATCAATGTCGACCGTTGTAACGATTCTATCTTTTCTGGACTAATTGAATTATTCGCTTAACCGATGGCGGACCGCCGTCATGTGAGCCACTCCGTAGATTTCTGCCCCCTGTTCTCTCAGTCACCCACAGTCTAGCAGTAATTTTATCAGCATTTAAATCTATGCTCCATAAAGCTTATTAGCGAGTTTGTTACTTAAAAAGGTGCGGAATCAATTTTTCTCCCCGTTCTCGTATAGTGTGTCGAATAAATAAATAAATAAAATTAAATAAATGAACAAATAAGGAACTATTAACTGTTTTCTCTTTTCGTTGTGTAGTGGGGTGCTGTAAAAGGTGCTATGGGTTGATATTTAGTTACTGTGTTGAGACCCAAATCGCAAAAAAATTACTTCTTTTGGAAAACGTCTCAAATAGCTTCACAAGAATACTTCCAAGGAAACTTTCGCCCCAAACGGGACTCGGACCTGCACCACCTTCCTTGACCGGGCGAGTTACCACCAATTTACGCTTCCATCCGAGCTTAACTCAGCTTTTCTTGCGGTACATTTACTATAGCCTATCATTGACCCTTAACATCAAACGTCTTGTGGAGCATTGCGAATAGCTTGACCTTCTTCTGCACTCTGAAACCTGTGGACAGAACCGAACCAGCAGTCAGCTCCTTTATGATATCATCGATCATTTCTTGTTTGTCGCTCGTCCAAATATAGCTCGCTAATTGTCATATCATGCGACTCTTATCAGATGCCCTTTAAATTGTCATTTAGGCACTGGCTAATCTGATAAAATGTTTCCTGTTGGAGTGCAAAGCAGTACTTCTGTGCCGAATTTCTGTAAGTACTATCTGTTCTACAGTTTATATCATGGGAAAGTATACCAGCAGAATTCTGAGGGGTGAGGGAGCACCCACTTGCATCGCGGCTATCGACCTGGGGATGGATGAGGGTGGTGTGTGGGAAGACTGTCATGGAATCCCTACAGCAGGCTTATCGAGAGTGTGAAGAAGGGAAGGGGACTGTGCAAAAAACATCAATTATGGGACAGAATTCGCCAATACGTTGTATCGCTAAAGACGCTTTGCTTACTGTGGTAGCTTTACTCTTGATTCCATGCACCCATGCTTTTCTATACATTTCCATAATCCATAGAGCAGGAATTTGATGAGCCTGTTTGCCGTTGGCAATTCGTTCGCTACCTAGACCTGGAGAAGTAACTGGGCTGTCACCCGAGAGGCTGCCCTTGGAACTTATACATATGGTAGTAGGCGGAGTTAGACCATGAGCTTGCGCAGAGTGGGCGGAGTCGGTTATAAAGGGCGGGACGTGCGCAGAAAAACATTTTCAGTGTTGAAATCGGGATAGGGTTTTCTTATGAGAAGCGTGTTTCTCAACAGTTAAGTGACGCGCGCGGTACCGTGCACTGCTCGAGCTGGTTATTAGATATTCAAAACTTGTAAAAAATTTCTTGTTCTTTAGATAAATTACATCGGCGACCGATAGCCGATTTACGGCCAGGGTCATATTCTCCAGAGGAAGCCCGTCTGAGGTGTCAGCTTGCGTCTCTTTATCGCCTCGTTGATCTATTCCAATGGAGCCAAGGAATCTTCAATCATATGACGGTGAGGATCTTAAGCATTCTTTTTTGGATTCGGCTACGGCGAATAGAAAATTCGAAAAGGAACGATTGCATCGATCAGCGACCTTCTTTGCTTCCTGGCATGGCATAGGTAATAGCCTAGAAATCGCGCTGTCAAGCGCCTATGATGCAGGGAAACGACTCCAATTTAAACCAGTCGTAAGGGACCAAAACCTGAATGCCTGACTCCTCATGTGAAAAGAAAGAAAGAAAAAGAGGGGTACTTATTCATAAAACATCTCTTAATATTTAAGTCAATTTTTGCCTTTCAGGTTCGCCTCCCAAATCGAGACAACGAGTTTCTTATCAATCCCTTTGGTCTACTTTATCACGAACAAAGTGCCAGTACTTTAGTGAAAGTGGATCTCGATGGAAAAGTGCTGGATCCTGGAAGCACGGGTTTAGGTATTAATCAGGTTCGTAAAATTGAGAGGATTAAACCAGAAAAGGATTTAGCATAGGTCATTTTTTGGGATGCGCCATGCATTCCGGTTAAGAGTTGTGAGGGGGCGGTGGCATTTTGGTTGCGATTTGACTTACACAGTGATTTGTTAGAGCCGACGATGTGCAAGCTTGTGATTGAAAAGAGGATTCCACGGTAAGGTCGGAAGATGAAGAAGGGCACTCACACATAGTCAATAAATCAGCCAGTCCCTCCTCCTTCCACAAGTGTAGCGTGTAACCGAGAGCGGCCCAGGAGGACCGTACCCGCGCCGTCGTCGCCTCTGTATGCTCGCCGAGGGGTAACTTCTCGCCGTCTTACTCTAGCCATTCAGCAGAGGGAGCAGTAGCGTTGAAGAGGGCAGCAACGATGAGACTCGCATCAACGCGAAATTCAGTGGACTACTTCCCAGGTTCTAGGCCGTTTTCCTTGGATTTTTTCTGGTCCCTACACCACTGCCACCACCAACTCTGGCTTGATTTTGAACGGGCTACTTTATTATCGTGAACTCCGCCTTTAGTCCTGTTACAGCAATAGGGCTTGATTGGTAGGAAAGCGCACAACTCAGGATTTGCCCCTGGGTCGTACGCGTTTCGAGTGAATTGCCGTAAAGTAGACTTTGTACTTTACCACACTTCCCCTCGGTAAAATTAGCCACTGCTCAATAAACAGGGTTGTAGGTAATGCGGTTAGTGAAATGACCGCTTGAGTGAACAACACACAGATAGACGTAACTTTCCTTCACTCTTCGGTTGTTTACCTGGGAACCACTCTTGTAGGAAAGGGTTCGAACTCTTATATTCAAATCGGCAACCTCCTTGGTTTTTTATATATGCGGAATGCGCATCGCGTCTAAGTGGAATTTGACTATGAGGAATATTCGAGAAAGGACTCTTGCGTAGGGAGTGGCCTAAAGCTTTTTATGGACCCTTTGCGAACCATTTCATGCACCACGTGTTTCAGCGGGGTAGTTTTGTCTAAGTTGTTCAAATTTACACATTCTCAAGAGGTATTCATACCTCACAGACTCACCTGGTCAGATGATAACATAAAAACTAGTACTTGTCGAATTGTTAAGAGATTATTTTTATTGATCAGAAAAACAACGAAAGCACCCGAAAATACACTAGGTTGGCGGTTCGCAATACTTTAAAGACAGTGATCACGATGGCTGGAGGGCGGTGCGATTTTGATGATGTCATTGAACGTCACTGGTGCTCTCAATCCCTCTGGTGGTAGCCGACAGGAGGCCCGTCGCGCGACAATAAAGCAGAGACGCAGACGGGTCGACAGACAGGCCGCAGCGCGTGTTGTATGTGGGACGTACTGTAAGCAGATTCTATTCAACTTCATCATAAATCGAAATCACTGCAGTACGCGCTACGACTCGTCCACTGATGCGTCTGCGTCACTGCCTTCTCATCACACGATGGGGTATCTTTAGGGTACCTGACCCCTCAGAGAGTTGGTTTTGGTTGAGACCACCTCTACGCCCTTCCACCAATGACGTTCAATGAGTCGTCAAAATCGCATCGCTCTCCAGCCAACTGATCGCTGCTTTTGAGCAGGTGTTAAAATTCATGGAATGTTTAATTCCCTAAAGTTTTTAACTGTAGCAGATATTTTCAGGCAGGTTACACTCTGCATTCTGCTATCCATGGAGGTCGTAAAGATTTACTATGCGTAATTCACTTACACGTACCATCAGTTGCGGCGGTCTCAGCCATGAAATGCGGTCTATTGCCTCTTTGCCAAGAATCGATGATTGTCGGAGAAGTTGCCTACCATGATTACCAGGTAAGCCTATTTCAATGATTGTTGGCTGTTCTTCTGGAGTTGGTTCTACTGATTCTGAATGACTTAGGGCATTCTAGTCGACCTGAAAGAACGAGAGTCATTAGTGAAGGATATGGGCTCACACGATGTTATGATTCTACGAAATCATGGATTTGTCGCCGCTGGAAGAACCATCGAAGAGGCATTTCACTACGCTTATCACCTCATTCTTGCCTGCGAAACTCAGGTTG